GGATTGCTTGAGCTCAGGCATTCCAAACCAACCTGAGCAAGAGTGAAACCCCAATGCTACTAAAAATAGAAAAACTATCCGGGCATTGTAGTGGGCACCATAGTCCCAACTACTTGGGAGACTGAGGCAGGATGATGGCTTTAACTCAGGAGTTTATGAGGTTCCTGTGAGCTATGATGACACCATGGCACTACTATTAAGGGTGACAGAATGAGAATCTGTCTCAAAAAAAAAGAAAACTGTTGGAAGAATGAATTTAAAAAATGAAGAATAAAAAAAGGATTTTGTTTTTAAGTACCACGAAGCTAGAAAAGGTTTATCTTTCTCTGCTACTTTCCTTTTAATAAAGGGGTTTGTTATGTGTAAGTTTGGATTTGATCAAAGGCCTACAATTGGGAATTTAGGGGGCCTCATGTAGGCTTAAGGCTAGAGGTTTATGCCTCATGTGAGGTAACACATGAATTTCTGCTCCCATATATTGAAGGCTAGAGCATTGTAATTAAGGGTACCAGTTTGGGAATCAGGCCCCTTAAGTTTAAATCCTATTTTTGTCATTTTCTAGCTTTGCATCTTTGTGTTAAGTTACCTCTTATGTCTTGGTTTCCTCATTGATGAACAGTGTAACTGAAAGGGCTTAAATCTCTTAGTATATGTTAAGCACTTAAAACAGTCCCTGGCACCTTCTAAGTGCTTATCTAATGTTAATCTTACTAGTCATTTAGTTGTAACTTATTTCTAATGGTATGAACATCATGCCTTGTTAAATATGATTCTAATGTTTAAAGACATTGTATAACATACAAATCACCTTCTTAAATTGATAACAGTGATTTTTTTTTTTTTTTTGGTACGCCTAGAGGGAGAACTTGGCTTATGGGGTTTACATGGCAACTTTAGATTTACCATTAAGATGGTGTCTTTTGAAATTTTCCAGGATAATCAATCCTGTCATAGTATTAGAGATCAAATTTTTAAATCTAATTCTTGTGTGAGATTTAACTTTTACTCTTTGGTTTTTTCTTTGCACTCATACCAAAAAGTAAACATAGGCCAAACTCAGTTTTTTCTTAATTTGTCTAAACTTAATATTTTCTTTTTTTTTTTTTTAATTTAATTTTTCTTTTTTTTTTTTTGAGACAGTCTTACTATGTCGCCCTTGGTAGAGTGCAGTGGCATCACAGCTCACAGCAACCTCAGACTCTTAGGATTAAGCCATTCTTTTGCCTCAGCCTCCCAAGTACCTGGGACTACAGGCGCCCACCACAACACCTGGCTACTTCTGTTGTTGTTGTTGCAGTTGTCATTGTTTTAACAGGCCTGGGCCAGGTTCGAACCCACCTGTATATGGCTGGCACCCTAACCACTGAACTACTGGCACCAAGCCTTTTTTAATTTTTATTTTTTTAAAGGGATGGGGTCTTGTTCTATTGCCCAGGCTAGAGTCAATGGTATGCTCATAGCTCACTGCAAACTCAAATTCCTAGGCTTAAGTAATCCTCCTGCCTCAGCCTGCTGAGTAGCTAGGAATATAGGTATACACCTCCACACATTGGTAATTTTTTCTTTTTTTTTTTTGGTAGAGATTTGGGTCTTTTTTTTTGTTTTTGAGACAGAGTCTCACTTTGTCACCCCAGGTAGAGTGCCATGGCATCATAGCTTACAACAACCTCAGACTCTTGTGCTCAAGTGATCCTATTCCCTTAGCTTCCTGCATAGCTGAGACTATAGGCGCCCATCACAACACTGGGCTATTTTTAGAGATGGGTCTCTTTCTGGCTCAATCTGGTCTCAAAGTTATGAGCTTGGATGATTCGCCCACCTCGGCCTCTAGAGATTGGGTCTTGCTATATTGCTCAAGCTGGTCTCAAACTCCTGACCTCAAGAGATCCTCCAATGTTGGTCTTGCAAAAGTGCTGAGATTACAGG